TTTTTTTTTTTTTAAGTACATTTAAAGACAAAAATTTCAAAAAAAAAAAAACATCCCAAAAAGTCAATTTTCAAAAAAGTTATGGTTATTTAACAAAAAAAAAAGCTGTTTTTTTTGTAATAACTCGTAACTTTTTTTTGGTTGGGTAAAAAAATTTGAAAAAATTCTGAAAATTGTTTTCAATAGGGTAGAGAAAGATACCAAAATTTCATGAAAAATCGAAAAGGGTCGGTGTCAAAAGTGGTCGATTTGGCATGGAATGCCCCATATACAGATTTTGTATTACAACAATTCTAAAAGTCTGTTCAACTACTGGTCCCATTTTTAGAAGTGTTCAAGTACTGGGTACTTTACCTTACAAGCAACATCAAAATTTTGTAAAAACGGCTTCTTCTGAGAACGTCTTTAAAATCTTATACAAATTTATCTTGAAACTACGTTTTTTTTTTGTACGACGCGTAGCAAAAAAAAAAACAGCTCAAGTATTATTAAATTCTTCAGTATACTAGTTTCTATCTCTGTGCCAAAAATAAATTCTTACGTTGAATACTTCTTATTTTTTACATAAAAAAATGATAAAAAACTTGACGCCTTCTCCAGGTCAATTTTTTTGAGGACTACTTTAGTATAATTTAAAAAAAAATTAATTTTTATTTTTGTAAATAACATATCTATTTTTTTTTAAGGGTTACAAATTATGTAATTAATTATTTTGATAAGGAAAAAAAAATCGTAAGATTTAAGTATTATTTTTTTCTATTGATATCGTGAAATACTTTAATAATATTTATGCTAACTTAATATAAATTAATCATCACTTAATTGGGATAAAAAAAAATTGTTTTATAGTTGTAATCTTTAAAGACGTAAAGAAATAACCTATTTTAGATAATTGCTAAATTACATGCAAAAAATAAGCATTTTAGATTAAAATATGAATTAACAGATCGTTTGTGGTAACCCACAAAATTATTGTACATCATGGGTAATATTGTACTTCGAAACCTCTAATTTAACGATTACTATTATTCAATTTAATATTTATCTTTCACTTTTTAAATTTACTAACTTTAATATTTGTGAATTTATTTTTTTACGTAATTGAAAGAAAGGAAATAGCTGTTATCATAATTGAATTACTCAAATAAATAAAGAAATTTTTTACAAACATGTTAATTATAAAAAGCAAGAGCTTTTTTAAAATTCAGCTTAATTAAAAAAAATTTAAGAGTCCATGCAAGTATTTAAAAAAAATAAAACTTGTTTAAAAATTGAAAAATTTAATTAAATTTTTTTAACAAAATTTTCGATTAAATTTAAAACTATTTTTTATAAATTCCTTGAATTCTTTGAAATTCCTTAAAAATAACGCAAGTATTAATTATAAAATCGGTGAAGCCTATCAAAAAGGATATGCTTAAAACTATTCTAGTATTAAAGATTTTACTTCTTCTTAAAAATATTTTTTTCACTCTAAATATGTTTACTGTATCATAAACTTTTACGACATCATAATTATCAATATGGGTATCATTAACCTGAAAAACGCTTTATTGCCTAGTAACTACGGTGTACATATTAAGTTTAACGCCCAGGAGTGAAAAAATTCAAGTTTAACTGAGATAAAAAATTTATTTCGCAAAAAATAAGCAATTTTATAATAAGAAATTAATTTTTAACAATTTTATTTGCTCAAGAAATTTAAATTTTTCTCTCAATAATTTTTTTTTAAGGAAAAAAAAAAAACAAATTTAGATAGACAACTTGCAAATTTTAATCCAATATTTTTTACTCGGAATTAATTGGAAAAATCATCAAAACTAGACAAATAATAGCTTAAATTAAAGGTAATTAAATTAAATAGATTTCATCTACTTTTTACACCTGGAAAATTATTTCCATAATATATACAAAATTTTTTAAAAATAAAAAAAAATTTTCGAACACCCACAACTCGTACACTAACCGGCCGATTTTGCTCAAATTCAAACTTGACCTTAGTATTATTCCCCAGAATAAGCCCACAAAATTTCATAAAGATCGGCTGAGAATTGTGGGCGCAATCCTGCTTACATATCACATAAATAGATTTTTTAAAGAAATCTACTTAAAAATTGTATAAATTTTTAAGCAAATTAATAGCTTATTTTTTTTTTAATAAATTTTTTCTCCAGTGTAGAGTAAGTAATTTTAAAAGTATAAAAAAATGTGGACTCTGGTAAGATATGATATATTTTTTCAACCTGGATCAAGTGTAGCTTTCTGCATAATTAAAAATTTCTCGATTTATCGACCGGAATGACTTTCAAAAATGAGCCAGTAAAGCCAGAACAGAACAGAATGTCTCTCCTGCGATTTAACCAGTTTTATTTTGGTAAGATGTCTCGAAAAGAAAGATAGGAGTGTCTGATGGGTATGTATGAGTCTGTCTGGGAAGCAGCAATTACTGAATAAAGCCAGTTAAGAGACATTTCCCAGGAAAGAAAGCTGGATTTGTTACTGGAAGAAAGAACTTGATCAACGATGTACACAGGCGTGTCTAGAGTCGCAATACAAGTTACCGGACACTGTCTTCACATCCACGAAAGTTCACAATACTACACTATATATCTTCATACACATAAGAAGAATATATGAGGGAGTGTAACATAAGCAGAAGTTCTTCAACTCATTGAGGAAGGCACGGTGCGTCCGGCGCAGTGACCTACTATCTTCGGTTCGGCGGCTATAGTCTCATTCTTTCTCTCTTTTCTACTCATTATCTTTTTTACTTTACGCATATTACTGCGGTATGTGTAAATATTATATGTATTGTGATTTCTTTATTAATTATTATTTTACTAAATTTTATTTAACATACAATTAGTCTAATTTTGAACTTAAATTATCTAATTTAAAAAATTATGTAGTTTTTATTGTTAATTTTATGAAGATCCAAGCAAAGTAGTTAAATTTTTAAAACTTTCTGAAAATTTGTAATTTCAATCTACGTAGGCTAATAATTAATAAAAAAATTAAAAAACAGTAGATTTCCGGGACATTTAATTAAATAATTAGGTTTGAAAATTGTAATTTCTACATGTGAATGGAGATTCCACCAGCCGTGTATTTGGTTAAGAATTTAATGCAATCAACGATTTAAAAAAAATTTTATTTTCATTGAATTTGATTGAAAAAATAATAAGCTAAAGATTAAAACAATAAAAAAGTAGCTTTCCGAACGTATGACGGAGAAATTTTATATTTTTTATGAAGAATCACTCGGAACTTGCGTTCTTTAAAGTCTTGTATTTGACTTGGCAACACCGCTTGCGCAGTTACTCGACGCATAAGTACCCGCGGTTTTTTAAATGCTAGAAAATCTTAGTCATTTTAGTTAGACAGTAAACATAAATAAATTTTAAGCTTAGGGACACTCTTGCGGTGTTGTCAAGTGTATACCGGTAAATTCAGAGCGCTATATTTTTTATGAGTCAATTAAATGTTAATAATTATTTAATGAGTAAATTTATCGGAAATTTCCTCAAAAATGTTAATAATTAATTGAAAAATTAATTTTAAGATAACAAAAGTATTTCTACGTATTATTGTTTTATAGACTTTCTTTACACTAGCAGGGTACTTGGATTTCCTTAATCAAATTGAGATATCGTACTCATCTTTACACATTTTTTTAAAGGATCTTTCGAATATCTATTTCAAGCGCTAGAAAATTTATTATTTAACAAGAAAATAGTACTTATTAATAAAGTAAAATGTGACTGATATATGTATATTAATTTTTAGATTAATCAAAAAATTATCTAAAATCTCTTTTCTTTTTTATTCTAACTGGGTATAAGTCAATGAAAAATAAAACGGGGTTAATTTTTTGTAATCAAATTATTTTAAAGATGAATTAAAATGAAAACCTGTTGGAGTTTTTAATTCGTTTTTTTTTTTAAATAAACGTTTTCATAAAAATTAAAGTCGAAATAATGTAATTATTTTTTGGACATTTTTAATAATTTTCAGGGCTTATTCTTAATTGTAAAGTGTGAAATTTAGAAGAAAAATGAATTGCAATTGACAATTTGACGTACCTTTTTTTTAAGCATATTAAAATTATCAATGATAACTCCGATGAATAGATTAAGAGTAAAGAATGAGCCGCATACGATGAAAATAACAAAGTATACGTAAGCCCATAGATTAGCTTCCCTTTGAGGTTGAAGGTCGACGCCCCTTGCATCAACCGCGTCTTCCATTACTTCCATCCAGCCCTCGAAGGTCGCGACTTGGAACAACGCCAGATAAGCAACACCAACGTGATCGAATGTTATCTTGCTGTTCTCCCAAGTGTAATTTAGATTCATGCAATCGTTCTTCGTGTTTACTATCTATATCAACAGAGAAAAGGAATCACTTTAAGAAAAATCCCTCGAAATTCTGAAATACTCTAGACTATGGACTAAGGAGGTTTATCTGCAACGACTTGTTCAAGAGCTTTAAAAATAACTTACAAGAGAGTTTACATTCTTTTTTTTTTTAACATTTATTTCTTTGTAATATTCGCTGTGTAATTGTCTAAAATGTTAAAGTATAATAATTAAGAATTCAGACTTTGATATTTATCATTTGGTACCTAAAAAATGATCTTATGATATGTAAAAAGTATAAAATAAAGTTAGTAAATTTCTAATACAATCAACGTCAATATTTACAAAGTAAAATGGTAAATTTTACACGCAACGCTAAAAATCAAACTGTAATTATTGTCTTGCTTAGATTGGTAAAATGTATATTTTAAAAGTACAATTTTTACTGTTTCAAATGTTAAATTCTCCCAGAGTGAGACCCCCTTCTCTTTCATTTGAGTTCCCCTTCTCCTCATAATATCGACTATAGATCAAAATGGCAATTTTTACTGTTTGAAACTGTAATTTTTTAAGATGAAAGAGTCGTTATTTACTATAGTGACAACTATCACTTATTGTTGGATATTAAATTTTAAATTGTATAGCTTTTATACTTTCTACATTAAGTTCTGTAATATTTATATTTTTGCCACCCCAATGTCCGCTTTACTGTTTGAAACTATAAAAATTAACCGGAATCCGAGTGAATATTACAGTTTACTTTTTTCCGTGTACGTATTATTTTTTCCTCCTTAACATCCGATAGATTTTTTAAATAATTGTATAAAGAAGATCAATTTTTATTTAATGTAAAACTTAAATATTTTTTTATTTTTCAACTCGATTTTTTGAAGGAATAAAATTGACGGAAATTTAGATTATAAATAAAATTGTTATTGACACAGTGTAATAATGTAATAAATTGCAGTATTACAAAAGCGGTTAAAAATACGCTAAATCTACGCTCCGCAGATCTTAACGATTGGCCGATCATTGAATTAGAAGCTTAATGAGTAACGGAGTAAGATTGTACTGAAGATTTTTTCTCGACCTACCAAACCGTAACACTAACCACGTAATTAATTAATAGATGATTTTTTGTTTTAAGTTATTTGTACCAATGAAATAAAAGGATTTATTTATCTACACTAAGAAAAAAAATTACCAATTAATTTGTTGAAAATTGAAAAAAATTTTAATTGTTAGCCTATCGTTAATTTAATTTTAAAAAATTTTTCTAATGGAAAAAAAAATAATTTTGTATTAAAATTCATAAATTGTGTTTTTCCGTCAAAAAAAATTTTTTCAACCAGAAGATTTTTATTTCTTCAGCTGAGAAATAAAATTGTTTAAAATTTTCAACAAATTGATTTATTTTCACATTGCTTACTGGTTCAAAATTTTGACGTTAATTTTAATTTTCTTAATATTTAATTTATTAATAGTTATTATCATTATTTAATAAAAAAAAAATACGCACAAATATCAGTAGTAAAGGAAGTAATAAACTTAGCATCGTTCTTCGTATCGTCCTGCGTGTTCTTTCCATCGTCTATGAGTGTGTGAATTTCTGTAATTAAATAAAAACATTATTTCATTAATAACATCACTTTTTTTTTTTTTTTTTTTTTTTTTAATCTAAATTTTAACTGTAAATTTTGGAAATTTTTTATTTAATGTCACTTGTGTTTTTTAATTTTTAATTTAGCGATTTTTTCACAATCACTGTTGTATCAGTTACACTGTAAAACATTGAGAATTTCAGAACAAAATGCTATTATTTTATTTTTATAAAATGTGTCATGCATATATCTACATAATTTACTTAAAAATAACTGAAAATTAAGGTAATTTCACAGAAAAAAAAATTTTAGCTGTATTTAATTCTTTATTAAAGGAAAAAAAAATTATTTTGAAAAAAAAAATTTTTTTCTTGCACTCAATTTTTTTTCTGTGCAAAAAATTAAGTCGCTAATATTTAAAAAATTATTTTTTAATAAATTCACGTTTAATTAAAAATAAAAAAATTGACAAAATTTTTTTAACTTGAAAATTTATTTCTAAAAATGAAAAAAATTCTTTTTTAATAAATTCACGTTTAATTAAAAAATAAAAAAAATTTTTAAATTTCTTCAAAATTAAAAATTAAAAACAATTATTTTTTTGACACTTAAATAATTTTTTAAATTATTTAAAGCTAAAAATAGATCTTTTAAATGAATACTTAAAAAAATAACATTTTGTTCTTCACATTTAAAAAAAAATCACTTTTAAAAATAAAATAAAATTTTTCTATAGAAAAATCTACCTCACATATACGGCGGCAATTAAAAAAATGAATATTTAACCGTAAATAATCACTTAGTCACCCGCACAATGCAAAAAAAAAAAAACAATAAACAAATCACGTTCGATCTCTTTCACAATTGAAAGCCTGACCTCGATCGATAAGACTCGGACCCCTGATAATTGTCGAGGCGACCGAGGGTGAGGATTTGTGGCCCGGAGTGATTGTCTTGGCCGGCGGGGACTGACTGAACGTGCGAGAGGGCTTCGATGAGCCTGAGAGCCGCGTCCTAGTGACCTACTGACGCCCTCGTCAGTTACGAGTATTCAGGTAAGGCCCAGAGTAGAATAAAGTAGAGGAACAACATTGCCCCACTATGCTGCTCCGTAAATACATACCAGTAGTCTTGTATGTATTTACGGACTGATCATCATCCGCATACGGCCTACGTCACCTACTGCCTTATGTTCTCCGCTCTTTTTGTTTTACATTAATTCCATTCCTTTTTTTTCTTTTTTTTTTTTCAACAGACAGCTAAAAGCGCGTACAGGTGATATCAAAAAACTTGCTTTTATTTTGATACTTTTCTTCCCGACTACTACACAGAAAGAACAAGATGACACTGGATACCATCTCAGATTATATTCAGTGACATCTGAGGCGAAAAAAATTTCAGATGGTAGCTAGTATAATCCAGATTATACTGAATAATATCTGGATTATACTCATTGTAATCTGGATTATACTCATTGTTATCGTGTATTATACTAGACTACTATCTAGAAATTTTTTTTTTCACTCAGTATAATCTGGGATTATATCCAGTATAATCTTGTTCTTTCCGTGTACTTAAAATTATTCGGAAGATTTTGAAATTTTTTACGCGGTAAAAAAATTTTGAGTCATTTAAAAGTGGGGAATTTTTAATGAAAATTAATTGAGCAGATATTTGATAATTTTAAAAAATTTTGTAACAAATAAATTATTACCTGAAAAAAATTATTTAAAAAATTGATAGGTAGAAATTGAAAAAAATATAAAATGCAATTTTTTAAAAATAATTTTTTTGTTAAATAAAATTAAAAAATTTTCAAGTGACGGCTAACTTTAATGTCATAATTTTTAACACAAAATTTGTTAAAAATTCAGTTGTTAAAAAATTTAAAACAATTTTATTTGTTAGCTGAAGAAATATAAAATTTTTGAACAGTAATTTTCTTAATTAAAAAAAAATTTTAAGATAGTCCGTGTAAAAAAATATCGTCTTAAATAAAATTCTGAGAACAGATTTTTGAAATTTGTTATGAAAATTGATTTTTAGACATTTTTTAGACGATTTTGTAAATTTTTAACCGCAATATTTTAGAGTGCGCTCTTTTTAAATTGTTGAAAAATTATTATCCGACAATTTTAAGACTTATTTAAGACGCTCCGTATTTAAAAATTTTTTTAAGACTATTTAAAGACGCTCTATAATAATTTTCCGGAGCTCTGTTGCGGTGAGCTCATCTTGAAATAGTCTGAAAATTTTTTTAAGATTATTTTATGACGTTCCATAATAATGTTTCAAAACTCTATCACTGTGAGCTAATCTTAAAATAGTCTTAAAAAAATCTTAAAAAAAATTTCAAAGACTATTTATAGTTTTAAATAGTCTTAGACAATAAAAACTAATAATAAAATAGTTTTAGACTATAAAAACTATTTATTATAAGATGATCTCACAGTGACAGAGCCCCAAAACATTAAAACGGAGCGTCTTAATAAATAACTCTGAAAATTGTCGATTAATAATTTTTCAGCAATTTCAAATTCAATTTAAAAAAATTGTACTTAAAAATGTTGCAGTTAAAAACTCGCAGAATCGTCTAAAAATTAATTTTTATAGCAAATTTCAAAAATCTGCTCTCGGAATTTTATTTAGGCATCTTAAAATAGTCTTGGTTTGTGTCACGTTTAAGATCTTAAACAAATAACTTTTTAAGGCTCTTTTAACATGATTATTTTATTTATTTTTACCTAAATTTAGAAAAATTTTTGTTCAACAAGAAAATTATCCTGATAAAAATTTAGATTTTTTTCAGCTAAAAAATAAAATTGTTTTAAATTTTAAACAAATTAATTTCTTAATTCATTGTTGATTTTTTTTTTTTAATAAATTTTTTTACTCAGTATTATTATTTTTATAAATATAGTTTTTAATTATAATTTTAAAAAATTGTTATTTACAATTTGTTATACATTCATGTAAAAATAGTTAAAAGTGAGCTCAAAAAAACAAATTACGCATTTTAAACTCGAGAGTGTGATAATTGATAAGATAATTATGTGTGTTAAATAAGTTTGCCGGTAAAAATAAAAATATATTATGAAAATGAAATGACCTAGATCCTTACGCGACACCCGCATAACTATTGTAACTTAACTCCCGAACGTGATAGTAAGCGTGGAAATAACGAAATAACCTGTAAGATAACGCATGAAAGTGCAAGTAAACATTTTTTTATTATGCTCTATAAGACTACTCAAGTTATTATTTTCTTAATTGAAAAATTACTCTGGCAATTTATATAATTTTTAAATTTAAAGTGTAACAATTTCTCTTTCACCGAAAAAGTAAGTGACTTACAGGAAAACAAAGGAAAAAAATCCATTGTTTACTTTTATTTTA